TGTATTAGTGACCCCTTCCTATTTATAGGGGGCATTTCTTTATCCACGGGCCACAGAACAACGGCATATATACTGCTGCTGCAGGAGGTTACGGGGTCCGCGCTGAGTCTCTGCGCTGGTCTCTCCTATGGATCTAGACAGGTCTGCACTGGTCTCTCCCATGGATCTATACGGGTCTGCACTGGTCTCTCCCATATACGGGTCTGCACTGGTCTCTCTCCATACGGGTCCGTGCTGCATGCTCCTGGATCCATACGGGTCCGCGCTGGTCTCTCAAGTCTGGTCTATGCGGTCTATCTTCGGTCCGCGCTGGTCTCTGCGCACCGGTCTCTCCAGTCAGGTCACTCCAGTCTATGCGGTCTCTCCTATAGGTCCGCGCTGGTTTCTGTGTGCTGGTCACTCCAGTCTCTCCTCGGGTCTGCATTGGTCTCAGCGCTGGTCCGCGCTGGATCTCCTCCCAGGGTCCAAAATATTTTGAGATTAATCTCAAAACATTTTGAGATTCATCTTTAAAATAATACATAATATATTTTTAAATTAAGCTCATAACATTTTGAGATTAATCTCATCATATTCTTAGATTAATCTCATAATTTTGCTAGTTTGACTTTATTATCATAATATTTCGACTTTTAAGTCAACATTTTATAACTTTATTCTCAGTCTGGTAAAAGAAGAAAAAAGGGTGACTCTTTTGCTCCGTGTAACTCTTTGCTTTAGGCCTGTTGCTGTTTCCTCAGCCGTCTGCACACGGCCCTGCATCCCCTTACATGGGCATTAATGGGCGGTTACCTATGCTAAGTACCTATGCTAATGAAGCACCTGGCACGCGCGCTGTACTTACGAGGAAATGGGATTCATCAATCTGAGAGAACAGCTGCGAACAATTCAGCGGCTTACGAGTGCGTTGATGAATCCCACGTAGGGACTTCTTAGAAATCTACTTAAGGACAACTTGAGAAGAAAGTTGAGTAGTTTCTTACGAAGTTATTCGTGAATGAGGCCCATTCTCTCTAGGGCTCTAATCTAAAAAGAGACAGCAAAAGCCGTTGTGCTAAAAGCTTTCATTAGCACCAATTACAGAGACCTCATGCACTATCATTCTATGAGGTTGGGAAGTGACTGTAATTAAAATAAGTAGTTTCTGGGATGAGATAATGATTTTTGCTTAAGTATCATGTTCCAAAAGGAGAAGTTTTGGATAGTTAATCAGGTTACACTGATTGAACTGTGAGCATTAAGTGAGATTCAAGTGGTATCATCATCACTATACCACCATCCCCAAAATCAATAGGTATAAAATCTATGTATAATGGGCCTCATTCACGAACGGTTCTTAGGAACAGATTTGTACGTAAATCCTACTTACGCGGTTTTTACGAAGAAAGTGGCATTCACGAATATTTCTCGTAACCAGAATTTCTCTTGGGCAAGTACAAATCCTACGAGTGCTCAGGAGCACTCGTACGCATTCAGTGCCGACATGTTCACACGCCGGGGTTGTCCTCTTTGGTGAAGTTGAATAAAAATACAACATTCCAGTGATATGTCCGTCATATCAATGTATGTATTTATTTATTTGTAGTAATCTTTATTAGTAATCTTTATTTATATACCGCCTTTTTCACTGCAGATCTGGCCTACTTTTTAATTCATTTTGAAATGAAATGTGCCAACGCTTTATCAAATACATTGGAAATCTTGCCGTGTATTAGTGACCCCTTCCTATTTATAGGGGGCATTTCTTTATCCACGGGCCACAGAACAACGGCATATATACTGCTGCTGCAGGAGGTTACGGGGTCCGCGCTGAGTCTCTGCGCTGGTCTCTCCTATGGATCTATACGGGTCTGCACTGGTCTCTCCCATATACGGGTCTGCACTGGTCTCTCCCATGGATCTATACTGGTCTGCACTGGTCTCTCCCATGGATCTAGACGGGTCTGCACTGGTCTCTCCCATGGATCTATACTGGTCTGCACTGGTCTCTCCCATGGATCTAGACGGGTCTGCACTGGTCTCTCCCATATACGGATCTGCACTGGTCTCTCTCCATACGGGTCCGTGCTGCATGCTCCTGGATCCATACGGGTCCGCGCTGGTCTCTCAAGTCTGGTCTATGCGGTCTATCTTCGGTCCGCGCTGGTCTCTGCGCACCGGTCTCTCCAGTCAGGTCACTCCAGTCTATGCGGTCTCTCCTATAGGTCCGCGCTGGTTTCTGTGTGCTGGTCACTCCAGTCTCTCCTCGGGTCTGCATTGGTCTCAGCGCTGGTCCGCGCTGGATCTCCTCCCAGGGTCCAAAATATTTTGAGATTAATCTCAAAACATTTTGAGATTCATCTTTAAAATAATACATAATATATTTTTAAATTAAGCTCATAACATTTTGAGATTAATCTCATCATATTCTTAGATTATTCTCATAATTTTGCTAGTTCGATTTTATTATCATAATATTTCGACTTTTAAGTCAACATTTTATAACTTTATTCTCAGTCTGGTAAAAGAAGTGTAACTCTTTGCTTTAGGCCCGTTGCTGTTTCCTCTGCTGTCTGCCCACGGCCCTGCAGTCCCTTATATGGGCATTAGTGGGCGGTTACTTATGCTAAGTACCTATGCTAATGAAGCACCTGGCACGCGCGCTGTACTTACGAGGAAATGGGATTCATCAATCTGAGAGAACAGCTGCGAACAATTCAGCGGTTTACGAGTGCGTTGATGAATCCCACGTGGGGACTTCTTAGAAATCTACTTAAGGACAACTTGAGAAGAAAGTTGAGTAGTTTCTTACGAAGTTATTCGTGAATGAGGCCCAATGACTTTTACATGTTTATGCTTAAATGTTCGCATTGGTGGAAGTAAAATCCAATGTGACCAAGTAAGCCTAATAATGTTATAGTCCTAATCATTTTAAATTCATTTGTAATTGCTAGCATGACATTACATTTAGATTCCCACTAGTTTTAGAATTGTTGACTACACTTAATATGTGTACGATTAGTGGGAGAATAAAGATTACGCAGGGAACCTGAACAACACATACAGGCCATGCCTAAAATTGTTGCCCTTTTTTAATAGCATTCATTATATACAAATTAAACTGATTATCCAATCAAAATGTTGTATAGAAAAAAGATACAACCCTACAAAGCAGTGTAATGTCTATAGTATGCAAGTTTTTGGCCATTCTTGCATTTGACAGCCAGATCGCGTCAGACCTATGAAGCACTGTGATGGGAGACCTCTGTGAACACCAGGTGCAATAGTGGGGAGGCTGCGGCTGTAAAGTGCCAGGTTGTCGTTGTGTCCTTAGGCAAGACATTTCACCCACATTGCCAAATAAGTCTGGTGTGTGAGTGAATGATTGGTGGTGGTCAGAGGGGCCGAAGGTTGACTCGCTTCTGTCAGTGTGCCCCAGGGCAGCTGTGGCTTCAGTAGTAGTTTCTCACCACTTTATGGAGTGAAAGACTAATGACATTTGAAGCGTCTTTGAGTGTCCTGAAAGCACTATATAAAACCAATATATTATTATTATTTACTATTATTATTATTATTATTATTATTAATTCAATTCAACTAAAAAAATTAACACCCAGTGGGAGAAAAGTGAGAAACAGGGTAAACCACATTGAGAGAGGGATATGCTCCACACGGACGGGCTGTAAATCCAGGATATAAGCTACAGAACAAGGACCAAGGCTATGCAGCGGTTGTAGAATGTAGATAGGTGCGGTGCAGGACTGAAGCAGCTTCCAGGTGGGTCGGGCAGGGCAGTCCACAGGTGTAGATTGAGGGGGATGGGATTCAGAGGTCCCATCGTCGTGCCATGAAACAGACAATGGGACAACGGGTAAATAGTAATGAACACACTACAGTTTAAATCCTAATGATGCAGACAGAGGAAAGAGGAGAGGATATTGCTCAAGTTACCAAACAGCTCATGATATTTTTCGTCCTAAATAGAAATACCTGTAATATGTTTTATGTCAAGAGATAAAACGGGGGCGCTTTCTGAACATGTACATCATTAGTATTTAGTTGTTTAGTAATTATTATGACAAAGTGAGACCGGTGGACGGGAGAGACTAACCCTCACCCTAGCGATTTTAACAATATAAATTCTACCATTTTGTATGTAACAAAAACCTTAAGGATCCCTTTACACCAATGACATGGTGGAGGCTGTTCATAAATGTGGAAGTCACTGAGGGTCCATGGAACTAATAAGAGTTCCCAGTCTCAGATGTTTGATAAGAAAGGGTACTTCACCAAACCTCCTTAGGTCGTTTCCAAACTTAAAATAGTTTTAAATCTTGGTTAAAATTGTAGTACTAGTGCGAAGTAATCTAAAAGCGTGACTGTTTAGACATGAGCCTATGCAGTGATGAAGAGTTTAACAGTTTAAAACAATTAATGTCAGTAAAACTGGTGCAGGTCCGGTTTCTGGTACAGATGGCGACAGTGGTTTCGTCCCCCACCTTCGCTCCCCTCACCCCCCCGTCTCTAATAACGTCACGCCCATGTTTAGGATTGTGGTGTCCTCTCGCGACACTTCTTCCTCTGTTTAGAGAGACCGCAGCGCTGAGATCTCGCGATAGTCCTCCAGCGTGCGCCCACCCCACAGTGATGCCGACTGCAGTGTGTATAATAGCGGCTAGGGCAGATGTGGGAGCTTAGGAGGAGCTGCTGCAAGGTCGACAACAGCATCCCGCCCTGATCTACTCACCCACCCGAGAGCGACTGCCGAGCTCCCCAGGGCTCACAGACCAGCTGTTAGCGGGACTTCAGGACACACTCCGGGGTGAGGGAGACACAAAGGCGAGTGTGGAAACTTTCCAGCCTTTGCCTCACGCTCCGTGGTAGCTAGCGTGCCTTGCCGCTCTTTTATGTTGAGCGTTGGGACTGGAAAGAGGAAGCGGGTTGGTGCGACGGTCAGACCTTTCTCCAAATAGACACCGCAACGACTTTATCATACAGTTGTCATACGCAGTCCGTGTGCCATGTCAGCACCAGCCTCCACGCCTCCCGCCACGGCTGAGGGGGACTTACTCGCCCCAGACGCGGGGACGAAGCCCCCAGGTCCTACTCCCAGCCAGAGCCGCTTCCAAGTGGATCTTGTTGCTGAAGCAGCCGGAGTAGCAGGCGAGAAATCTCCGAACTCAGACACATGTACTGTCCCGTCCAGCGACAAGGCCAGTACTGGAGGTCTCACCGAAACTGATTATGGGCCCGGGGGAGAGGAAGCCAAAGGACGCTTTCGGGTGGTAAACTTCGCGGACCCCAGTGGGGCGACCTCTCCCGAGGGTGATGGGGGCCAAAACGGGGACACGGTGATGAGTGAGACGAGCCTACACTCGTCCACCGGCGGGCAGCATCACTACCATTATGACACCCACACCAACACCTATTACCTGAGGACTTTCGGCCATAACACCATTGATGCAGTTCCAAACATAGACTTCTACAGACAAACAGCGGCGCCCCTGGGCGAGAAGCTCATCAGGCCCACACTGTCAGAGCTGCACGACGAGCTGGACAAGGTAAGCTCCATCCACCACCGAGAACACGTGGGGGCTGCCCGTGTGCGCTCTCCCGTGCACAAATGTGACACACGTGGACACAGGACTATGTGCGTCTTGCAACTGAACTTCTCCCATAAAACACACTGCTGCAAAACGTTTTATTTTTGACACAATGCTCATTATCGATGTGTTTAGGCAAAGAACGTCTCTGAGTCAGTCAAGCGCTCACGATAGGCTAGATGTTGTGCAGACGCCACCTGTCTGTTATTGGCTTTACATTATTAATGACATAACATTTTTAAAATCGTAATGTATTAGACCGTGGATATTCTGCAATCAACGCAACCTTGTTGAGTGTTGTGAGATGCCTGCGTTAACAACAACTCCTGCACGTGCCCTCTTCCACACAGAAAATGTGGTTTATGGAGGACTTTCTAGTTCTTCCATCTAAACGATATTCTTGAGTCTCAGCTTCGTTATATGCAACATTTCAAGCACGTTTTGCTAATGGGAAAAATGTGGTTAAATGTACTTGGTGATAGGTTCTCATCATTCTGATAATCATGCAGACTTGGGCAAGCAGTAGGATTTGTCACAGGATACAATGTGCAAAATAGGTTTTTTTGTGCAAGGTTAGAGTATTCACTTGACCTTAAGGCATTTACAGGTCTCTGCAGGCATTTCAACAAAAACCAGGAAATATACACTAAAAGAAGACCTTAAATGTTGTCTGTTTCTTCATCATAAATTGGTTTAGCATATTACTTTCAGCCACTTCATGGACATTTAATGCAATTGGAAGTGTTGCCTCCAACCTATTTTCATGTTACCCATTTGGTCATATGTACAGGAAATTATTCTGTCCCAGTAACTTCTTAGCCGCTCATGTGCAGCATTTTTCTTTCCCACTTTACACAACACACTATCTTATTAAAAGGTACTCGTGTGGTTGTGGGTAACCGTGAAAAGTAGTAATGTAGTTGTCTTATCTGAGTTTGAGCTGAGGTTCTCTTCCACATCCTGCTGACAGATACTTTGTGATGAAAGATTGTTCTAGTTATGTTACAACGTCCTTGTAGTCTACTTGAGAGCCTTCAGCGTGTCCTAATGTCCTAGGTTTGTTCCGTATTGGGAGACTAGTGTGTTTCTCATCACCTCTATATTACTGCTGCAGATTGACCAGATGAGCTGATTAGAGGACAGACTTAAAATTAACTTCGGTTGGCTTTTATCTACAGAGGCTGGATTGTTTGGTTCAAATATTTCCAAAATGGCGAATGGACTTTAAATTTCACTGGAGTTCACTCTACATTGAAGGTCATGGTGACCTGACTGCAGAGGGTGGATGTTGAAGAGGTTTGAAACACAGAATGGAAATTCCACTGTACTAATTGATTAGTTCCAAACAATCAATGAGTCATTCAATGCAATGATGAAAGTTTATCTTTGGGAGGAAAGCTGTGTGTCGGTAAAGATGAGGACACCCTGTGGATGAACACAATAGACTGTGTTTCATGAGGAGTAACCGGCAGAGAAGGGCCTTGAAGTCTTATTGTCTCGTTGTATTGTGATCGTATAGACATTGACACACTGCTGTATGTCCAGCCAACCGGAAGGGGGGCAATGCCGTGGCAATTTATTTGGTTCCGAGCAGTCGAGCAGAAGGCTGCAGCGCTCAAATATTGATGCCACCCACATCGTGCTGCATCAACGGTGAGTAAAAAAGTTTCGATCAAACGGTTCACTATCACGAGCTGAAAGGATCCTGTTTAAAATCAGTTGTCTGCTGACTAATCACACTAAAGGGTAGAAAAGTGTGACAAAAAGCCAAAAATTAGATTTTAATAATCAGAAGATAGTTTGTTTTTCCATGTATCCAAAAACTTCCTCTGTGCAATTGAAGTTGCTAGAACATAAATGTGTTTATACATTAGTCAAGTTTCCTATAGCTGCCCTGTTTTTAGTTTTTTTTAATGTAACGGACGTGATGATTTGACGGCATGAGCTTTGCGGAAGTTTGTTACGTATTTTCAGATGTCCACATTTGATTAAAACGATAGAGAGAGGTATGATTTGAAATAAACGACCCAAGCTCCCTCCCCCTTACTTTCTGATTGGTCTTGAAGCCGTGCCTACTTTTTCGTCCACGCGTCAGGTCAATGGTCCAAGACTTGGGAGGAGTTATTTTGAATATTCAAATATTTTATCATGATTTATTATACTGTTCCTCACAGCAGCAGTAGAACGCTCCATTGATTTGAATGTAATTTCAAAACGTTCTACCGATCATTATTTCTTGATAACCGACCTCTCAAACCAATAATGACCGCTGCCCTTTGGCAACACACTCTGTGCTTGTAATTCAGCTGTGTAAAATACTAAGATTACTCCGAACAGTAGTTTGTACACTTCGTCACAACAGGCTTTCAGCGCCTGTCACTTATTACTTCTGTCTAAAGCAAGAGAAGCTATCGAAGCTGTTTGAAACACAGAATGGAAATATTTAATATTCGAATTATAAATGAGCACAAGCATGATTATTGACAGCCCTTGGCATCACTTGATTGGTTTAAAGTGGACGGCATCGTGTATTTTGAGCTATAGCTAAGATAAGGGAAGGCGAGACTTACTCGTAATATTATAATTTAAATAATGACTTATTTTACATCAACATTTTATGCAGGTCAATTTAATACAATTCTTAAATTTTCATATCAGAATCATAATAATTTTTGTTGCCACGTAAGTAACAGGAAGTCAGACTTGGAAATTGCTTTGGCTCAGTGCAACAGTCAGAAAGAGAGGTAAGGGTAGAGAAGGCATAATGAAAGGAATAAATTTGAAATGGTTACAATTACTATACAATAAAGTAAAGTGACGTATGATGGACAGTTGTTACTTTATAAAGAGCAGTAGGGGACTTCTAGAGGGCGGGGAGGTTAAGAAGTGTTCAAGAGTCCAACAGCAGAGGGGAAGAAACTGTTCTTGTGGCGGGAGGTTCTAATCCTGATGGACCGCAGTCTCCTGCCTGAGGGGAGTTGTTGGAATAGTCCATGTGCAGGGTGAGAGGGGTCGGCTGTGATACGACCAGCCCGGCCTCGAGCTCGGGCGACGTACAGGTCCTGCAGCGGTGGAAGGCTGCGGCCGGTCACTTCCTCTGCAGAGCGCACAATGCACCTTAGTCTCTGTTTGTCCCTGACTGTGGCTCCAGCGAACCACACGGTGATGGAGGAGGTGAGGATGGACTCGATGATGGCCGTGTAGAACTGCACCAACATCTGTGCAGGCAGCTTGGCTTTCCTGAGCTGCCGCAGGAAGTACATCCTCTGCTGGGCCTTCTTGATGAGGGAGCTGATGGTCGGCTCCCACTTGAGGTCCTGGGTGATGGTGGTGTCCAGGAAACGAAATGACTCCACAGAGGTGATAGAGTCATTTTGTTTCCTGGGCTCCACCATTTTAGAGTTCCAGACTATCACTTTAAAAGATTTGTTTAATTTAAAAAATGTGAAAAGACCTTTTATTTATTTTTTTAAGTTACATTTTTAGAGAGAAATGCATGGAAACCATCACGTCCGTTAAAAAATTTTCTAAGGTGATTTAAAAATAAATAAAAAATCAAGTGATTTACTTATGTTGTGTTAATCATGTTAATCTTGTGGGATTTCATCTGCCGCTGTTTCAGAATGAGGGCATAACATTTTCTATGTAACTGGTGTCACAGTAGAATGGTCAAATCAGAGGTTGATTTGGTCTTTTAAAATATTGCCAAAAATATATTTGTCAATCTTTCCTTTTGATTTTATCCACACCATCTCTTTGGAAAAACGATTTCAAACACAGACAGATCAATCTATGATAGTAATTTTTTTGTTTTTGAGTTATCCTTTAAAGTCCAGATACTTTAATTGACACTTTACTGTGAACGCACAGATCAGAATCAGAATCATTTTTATTGCCACGTAAGTAACAGGAAGTCACAGACTTGGAAATTGCTTTGGCTCAGTGCAACAGTCAGAAAGAGATAATAAAAAATAAAGAATAATAAAAAACACTTCTAAGGAATAAATACAAATTTAAAATAGTTAGTTACTATTTACAATATACAAGTGCACATGGTGCACACAATGTAAGGTGACAGCAGTACAGTGAAGTAAAGTGACGTATGATGGGCAGTAAAGTGACTTTATAAAGGGTGGGGGGACAAAAGAAGGATACTTTATTGATCCCCGTTGGAGAAATTCAGGTGTAAAATATCAAGTAACAATGAACAATTCTTTGTTTTACTATCAGTGTTCTTATAACCACTGTTTTGTGTTATTGTTGATGCATATGTACACCTTTTTTCCATTGTGTGCTTGAAATAAACTTAACTTAAAAAAAAGAAGAAATGCAACCGCACTTTAGGTCACAGCAGTAGAAGTGGAGTAGGCGCTTGGTTCTGACCATTTTCTCTGCGCTGGCCCAGAGTGACATGCTGAATGCTTTATTTGCATTTTTAGAAATTATTCGGACTGTGCATCCGCTCTGCTGCTCTGGTCTGGATCAGTGTAAAACCTTGAACAGTAACATTTACAGGTAGAGAAAAGCTTGGAAAATAACACAGAGAAAACTTTTGGGCTTCAGTGTCTCAGATCTTTTTATTTAATGAGGTTTGAGTGCCAGATTAAGCAAACCCACTGTAACATAACTAAGGCAAAATCTCCTTTTTTCTTCCTTGTGTTACTTGACAATCGTATGGTTATTTCACCCTCTGCTTTGATGAATTCCTCATACTTAAATTTAAACATGGCATCTGGAAACTCTGCCAACCAGTTCTGTAATCTGACTACTTTTTTGAACATCAATTCAACTATGTCTATCTAGGCATCGCTTTGAATCTTATATTATTTCATAATGCATAATCTGGCAGAAAAATTTAACTATAGCTGTGTAGGGCTTAGATGAAAATACATCATGACGCAAGTAGGGCTGGGCGGTATAAACGGTATAAGCGGTATGCGGTATAAATTTGGCCCACG